AACAAATGCAACAGCTTTTGAAAGAATTTACTCATTTTCTGAATCGCATTGCGATTTTCTTAATCGCGTTTCGATTCTTGGAATCGCGTTGCGATTTTCTTAATCGCGTTGCGTTTCTTGGAATCGCGTTGCGATTTTCTTAATCGCATTGCGATTCTTGGAAGATCGCGTTGCGATTCTCTTAATCGCATTGCGATTCTTGGAATATCGTGTTGCGATTTTCTTTTGACCGTTGCGATTTTCTTTTCAACGTTGCGATTTTCTAAATCGCGTTGCGATTTTGTTGGTCATTTTCGCAAATCACAAAAAAATTAGTTAAAATCGTATATTATAAGTCATTTTCGATCACTGACGCTTTTTATGTGAAATGATAAGTAAAAGAAAATGCCCAGTTATGTGTCTTGAGAGCTAGGGGTATAGTTGGCATGCCAAGAGTTGAGGGTCTACGCGGTCCTTCGGGACATATATGTATTCTTTGGAACATGTGTGAAGTCTGGTGAGACACATACTTGATCCTTGGCATATGTATATGATTCTTAAGGAATGATATGTGTTTCCTTCGGGACATATATGTATTTTGGAACATGTGTGAAGTCTGGTGGACACATACTTGATCCCTAGTATATGTATATGATTCTTAGGAATGATGTAGTCCTATGGACATTATATATGGCACTACGGTGCAATTCTACGGGCACTCGGTGCATCTACGGGCACTTCGGTTACAATTATATGAGCTGGTGGTGACAGCATAGTGCACAACCTCTATAGACTCACATATAGTTCTCACATGTGTACATGGGCTTTGAAAGGAGAACATAATTTGATATAATGATATGTGTTTGAAAGGAGAACATAATTTGATATAATGATATGTGTATTTCTGTGACATGGTAGAAGGCATATATGATTTCTCGTGACATGGTAGAAGTGCATATATGTCTTGGTGATATGAGAACAATGTAGTGATATATGTACATGATTTGTGATATGATGTGTGCATGATATGATATATGTATGATAGGGGTTTTGGTATCTGTTACATAATATACATGAATATATGTTGATGTATGTAAATGAGTTGCTATAATTTGATAGCATAAAAGAGTCATGCATGATTAGTGGGTCTGAATTCCATTAGGTGTGTTTTCTTAGCATCACTAAGTCATCGATTAGCATGTGAGTGTTTCACACGCAGGTTACAGAAAGTGAATATGGAAGCTGAGAGGAGTATATAGGTCAGCATCTCCTTATAAGATTTCAGATCAGAAAATAGATGAGTTAATGATTTTTGTTATTTTGATATAGTTGGCATGTATAATTGATGAGTTAAATATGCTCTGATCGATTTTGGTTATTGTGGTCAAATTACGTAACTATGCTTTTACTCTAAGGAAAGTTTTAAATTTTCTTTGAATTTTGTCAAGAGTCAAGTTTGAAAAGTCATGTGACACCTCGAACTCGTATCCGGGTCGGTAGGGTTGGGGGGTTACACAAACGACGGTGAGTAACTTTCTAAAAATTAAACTATTATATTTGAATTATTAATATATATATATATATCAAACATATATATATTAAATCAAAGAAATTTTAAAAGTAAAATTTACAATACTAAATCAACATATAATCAATCACTAAATCAAATTTATATTTGATAATATTAATAATAAATACATTTCAAAAATTAAAATAATATATTAAATCAATCGATTATTAAAAATCTATAAATACTTTGAATGATTAATAAAAATATTAATATTATAGATCACAACCTATTTTTTAGTGAATCATGACATTCTTGCGCAACCGTATTTCTTATATATATTCATAACATTTTTAGTTTTTAATTATTTTCTTGTCGTGAGAATGTTTAAGGCCCCACGGCTTAAACTTTGGTAAACTTTTAGGTGAAACTTAAATGTTAACAATATCCGTAACATTATCGATTATAACTCATTTCTTACCATGTATAAATTTTAGTGCAACCGTTATGTTACTTCGACTATAACTTTTTCGTTCTAATTTATAACATTTTGTGCTCCGCTTTTAACCTATTCATTTTTACCGGTCACACCTTTTATTAACCTTATTTTAAGTGCCTCCCAACAGAACTTTCTGTTATGGGCAACTTGTTTTGTACAAGTCATCTCCAGCCAGTTCTGAATACATTACAGGGTCGATATTGTTGCCTCATTCGACTGGAGAAACAGGAGAAGAAACTCATTCGTAAATGTATCCCATTGGTGATTTCTTCTCTCCATCAACCATTCTCAAAACCTTCACAAGAGATCTCGTTAGCTTAAGCACGTAGAGTACATTACTCCAAAAGGTGTCTTGTAGAATGTAGGATGCCACATTTTTTACTCCTACTTCCTTTGGCCACTTAGATTCACTCCATTCTTGAGAAGTAATCATCTTTTTCAAGTTATTTCTTTGCTTATGGAATGGGGCAAGCGTGATGAAAGATGTTGTAAATCTAATGATTGTCGGCCTATGCAAATTTCTCTTATTTGTGAACCTCCTCATCATGTTCACAAGAGAAATGTGATTATATATATAGTCATTCATGAACATGCACTTCTTTAGTGCATTTTTCACCTTTGGAATACCTCCAATATCCTCCAACATTAAATTGATGCAATGTACCGTGCATGGAGTCCAATAAAGATTTAGTCTTGTGATCATTAACAATTTTCCTAAGTTAATAAAATAATAATCAAGTAACTGAATAAAACAAAAAAAAATAAAGGAAAACAAGTAAATAATTTAAATTTCTTACCAACTTTGACATAATTAGATGCATTATTCGTTATCATTTGGACCATATTTTTCTATCCTACTTCCTCCACCATGTCATCAAGCACTTTAAACAAAATGTTGACATCCTTCACAATCTCTGAAACATCCATAGATTTAATGAATATCTATCCCTTTGGAGAGTTACAAGAAAGTTCACAATAACTTTTTAGGCCACCGAATCACCATCCGTCCGAATAAAATTGAACACCTTTTAGCGCTCATTCTTTTTTTGTGATCCTTCATAATCTTTTGAGTGTCATCCACTTCTTTCTTAAGGAGGGGAACTCTAAGCTCGTGCACTTAAAGCTAGGATAATATGCCGCATTGAATGCAATTCTGACATCATAAAATAACCTAGCAATCGCATACAATTTTCTCCCTTAATTGCTTAGACAAGTTGCATGCAAGCCTCCCTCTTTATTAGGATTAGCTCTAGGAGATGAAACAAACAAATCCATTGGACCCTTAAGGCTTGGATTTTTGGATAATTATTTTCCACTCTTTTGACTCGAATTACCGCCACTTGTGTTCAATATCTCAATCTCTTCTTCTTCTCTATCATAATCATCAACATCATGTAGAGATTCTTGAGACATCATCAAATTTGAGGCCTTTGTCTCAGTCTTCTTCATCATAAAATTCTTCACTTCTTCCCTCACATGTTTAGGACATTTAAGGCATCTGGTACATTTGAATCCTCCAACTAAATATTGTTTCATTCGTTGTGCCACTCCTTTAGTAACCTTTCTACAAAACTCGCATGTAAAATGTTATTGTTTGTAGGATCTGATTTCCATATTTCTTTTCGAATCTAAATTATCGTTGATTCCGTAGAACTAGAAGCTGACCCCGATTTCATTTTTCAACAAACTGAAATTTAATAAAATATAAATAAAATTCAATAAATATAAATAACAATCCAACAAGTTATCTCGAAACCATTATTCAACAAGCTGCTCATAACTTCTTCGCAAGCTGTCTTGATTTTAGTGTTTTTCCATATTGGTTGATTTACTTTATTTAATAAAATTATCTTTTATGAGTTTAATGAAGAAATCTATTATTATTAATCAACAAATGTCTCGAACCCATTAATTCAACAAGCTGTCCCGAACCCATTCAACAAGCTGTCTTGATTTTTAGTGTTTTTCCATATTGTCATAACACATAACGTGAGCTAATGAATGCAATTAATGTTAATTTATAAATGGTAACTAATAATTTTTTAAGTAAATAAAAATAGCTAATAGTTTTTATAAAATATTAACCGGTGGAAAGGTTCAATCATTCATTAATTTTAGCAGGAGAAGAAAATGCATTTTCAACCATTAGGAAAAGCATGATCTTGCAGGTTGCTACTCCCTTTGTCGATCTCTGCCTTGTAATCAAGAATTTGAGATTCACAAACTGTTAAATACAGAATATGATTCATTTAAATTCCTTTTTGCAATTTCTTTCATGTATTTGAATCCTCACTTTATCCATTATGATGACCGACTGTTCTAGACTTTTCTTGTTTTTTGATCTCAAGGGGACTAGAATCATTAGATCATGCATTTGAATCCTCAGTTTAATTATGCATTATGATGAAACTATTTTCTAGAGTTTCTCTTGCTTTTAGATCATGAATGGAATAATGGATTTGTATCTGTTCTTTTCTTTTGGGGGGGGGGGGGCTATACCACGATAAAGCTTTTATTTATTATAATTTTGTTTCCTGATTAAGTGTCCTGATCACTTTATGCATTATTTTGCATTGGATGGTAGATGAGAGTGAACTTCGTGTTATTCACTATACTCTTGGCCCTCTTAAACCTTGGGATTGGTGGACATCTTGGCTCTTAAAACCAGTTGATGTCTGGCAGGTATTATCGGACTTCTTCACAATTTATATGAAAAGCTCCAGTGTTATTCCTAGTCGCCTTTTCACAAATGGGTATAAATGTCAAATAATTGTTTGCAATGCTGCAGAATGTTAGGGAACAGCTTGAAGAATCGCTTCCTGGAACGGTGGTGGCAAAAATCCGCATGACGAGCTTCTGGTCAAACTCCTCTTTGTTTTACCTTTCTGGTTCTACTTTTTTGTTACTATCATTCTTTCCTTCTTAAGGTTAGTGACTGTAGATGTTGCATTTTCTCAATTCAATTCCTACTATATAATTGCTGTCCACTCCCAAACCATATTTTTTCCGGTTCAGACAGGTTTTCAATTTGCAGAAAACTTCATTAGGCAATCAGATCAGACACTTCTACTACATAGTTAGGTCAAGAAGAATAAGCTTACACAGGTGTTTCTTCATCTTCCACCATTAATGCAAACACCAAGTTAGATCCTTTCTTTATCTTTTAAGCTGAATTGTTTTGGGTCTGATTATATTGTTACCAATCTATTGATATTCGATGTGAACTTATTAATATACTCACCTCTATTATTGATTTTGGTGTGATCCAGTTTCCTAACAGTGGAGAGACCAAGTTGCCACCTACCTTGGTGGGATCTCAATATTCATTGTTTTATGGCTGCTGTGTTGTCCCTTGGAATTGGTATAGCAATTGTGCCTCGACAAGTGATGCCGTGGACTGGTTTACTCTTGATGTATGAGTGGACGTTTACGATCTTCTTTCTTTTGTTCGGAGCTTTTATTCATTTGATTTATAAGTGGGGAAGGAGAACTGCCACTCGATTAGGATCAGTTTCCTCTTATACTGATTCTTTTGATTCTGATTCTCAAAAAGGTTATCAACTTAGATCAAATACATAAATTATTGTGCATGATCATGATAAAGACGACGTTAGTTCCCTTTTCTCTTTAATGTAATATTGATGATAATTTTGTATGTTCTTTTCAGGTCATCAGCCGCATGCATCCTTTGTGATGTTGCTACTTGGTACTACCGGTTCGGGATGGCATTTTTGGCTATCGCCGCCCCATCTTTACCATGTATTTTTGGGTTCACTGCTCTGTTCTTAAGGTATATTGACATGTTCTTGTTTTGTCATGCCTTTATGAAAGAAAACATTTTCAAGCGTTGTCTCTTATATTTTTGTCATCTATGTTGCTTGGGACTCAATTGCAAGTGTCAGGTATGGATATATAATCCAATTCGAGGATTTTTTTGTCATATCTCTATATCCATGACGGATACGCGTTAGATACAGATACTGATCAGAATGAGTACTGCAAGAAAAATGAAAACTACGCCCAAAACTATCTACTTTTTAGCACTAAAATTGTAAGGTATAAGATTGAGTGACAATAATGTAATTTTTCCTCGAAAATTTTATATATATGCACATTAATTAAGAGTATTGTTAAATATTTATTTATGCGGTGGATGTTTATTATGATTGTGAAAACTTTGATGTGCTTTGTTATTAGAACTTTAATATCCATCAAGATTTAAAGTATATTTATTTCTTATGTTTGTAAATATAAAGGTTAAAGAAAATATCGAATATAATTCATATTAAGAAACCTAGCTATTCCCTAGCATTAACTTAAAACTTTAAATTCTAATTTTTAAATTCTAAACCTTAAACAACAGTTCTTTAACCTCTAAACCCTAAACACCAAATCTTAAATCTTAACTTAAAACTCCAAACAATAATAAATATTTTAAACATTGACGCGATTGAGCAACTTCGAGGGTTAAACTGATGCGAAAATACGATATGGACAAAATAATAAATTTGAATCTATTACAAGAGGCATAAATGATCCTTAACCCTATTTTATTTTAGGTGTGAAATTAAAAAATTCATTTAATTTAAATTAATAGTTAATTGTTTTACCATCAACCTCTTTCAGCTTCTTATTTACATCTTTCATCGCACAAGTAATTATAAAATTCTTCGTTGATATTTGTTTTTCATTTCCCTTAATTTCATACTTCCCTGCAAACATGCAAGTGTCGTGAATAGGTCAATAAGTTCAATAAAAGCTTGGATAATTTAAATATGTACTAGTGAAACATTAAAACAAAAAGAACGTGAAATTCTGGTGGAGTTAATTGTTCTTTTTTCAATATGGCAAGGGGAGAGCTTCAATTGTTGATTGTTTTCATAAAAAAAATCATTAAATTTTAGATGATAGATTATCAATAAAAGATACAAAGAAAATACTTAAATTATTCCAACTATTTTCTCTCTCAGTCCATCTATGATCTTAGGCCGCGCTTATCATTGATGAGCCACACGAGATTGACAGCAAGTATCGTATACACAATTTCATATCATTGAAAAGCCTACTCTGGTCGGAGTAACCTTTACAGACAGATTTATCGAGAAATACTGCAACACTAGGCAATAATTTTCCTAGTAAATGTGGCAAAGGTTGGTACAAATTATGTTCAACTACAAAAACAGCTTCCCTTTTGCTTTCTTATCTTCTCTTTAATTCAATGGTGGCTGAAATTCCAGCTCTATAAAAAGCAACCCCATTCTTTTCTTATTCCCATACAAGTCTTGTTTGGTTTTCTTACGATACTATCAATGGCTTCTTCAGCTTCGTCGATGGTCTTGGCTTTGTCAATGGCGGCCTTGGGGTGCATTGCCGCCCTCGCCGAGGCTCGAGCTTTCTTTATTTTCGGGGATTCGCTTGTCGACAGCGGCAACAATAACTACCTCGAAACCACGGCTCGTGCGGATTCGCCACCTTACGGCATAGATTATCCGACGGGAAGACCCACCGGGCGTTTCTCTAATGGCCTTAACATCCCAGACCTGATGGTTAAGTTTCTAATATTTGTTTCTCTTGTTTTTGTTTATAAATGTGTTTATTTATGTCATTTAAATGGTTTGCAGGTAAGCAAATTGGTTTATCAGAATCACCATTGCCATATTTGAGCCCAGATTTTGATGGGAAAAAGCTGCTTGTTGGTGCCAACTTTGCTTCAGCTGGTGTTGGAATCCTTAATGACACTGGAGTCCAATTTGTAAGTAAATATATTATATAGATGACATGTTTGAAGAAGAAATGGTGTCCTAAAATGTTGGAATTGCAGGTAAACATACTGAGAATGTACAGACAATTGGAGTTATTCCAAGAATACCAGCGAAGATTATCGGCTCTGGTCGGATCGAAGCAAGCTCATCGACTCGTAAGCCAAGCACTCATCCTGATCACCGTCGGTGGTAACGATTTCGTCAATAACTATTACTTGGTCCCCTTCTCCGCAAGATCCAGACAATACAGTTTGCCTGATTATGTCAAGTTTATCATTTCCGAGTATCAAAACCTCTTGATGGTAAGGATATTAGCTATTATGTCACTCGAATTTAGGTGTGAATGTCATAATGTACTGATCTTTACTTGGTTTCATGTTCAATTGCAGAAACTATACAAACTGGGAGCACGAAGGGTACTCGTGACGGGCACCGGACCACTGGGATGTGTCCCGGCAGAACTCGCGATGAGGGGCAACAACGGTGGATGCTCGCAAGAACTGCAACGAGCTGCTGCCTTGTACAATCCACAGCTTGTTGAAATGATAAATGGACTCAATGCTGATATTGGCAGAGATGTCTTCATTAGTGCAAATACTCAAAGAATGCACAATGACTTCGTCTCGGACCCCCAAGCCTTCGGTACGTTCTCTTCTAACTTCCCTATACTCGAATAAAAATCGAAATAAATACTCTGTCTAACACACACTCGTGTCGGAATAAATTTGAACTTCGGAACAGGATTTACGACATCGGAAATAGCATGTTGTGGGCAAGGACCATACAATGGACTAGGTTTATGTACTCAGTTATCGAACTTATGTCCGAACAGAGATGAGTATGCGTTTTGGGATCCGTTTCATCCAACGGAGAAGGCTAACAGATTGATTGTGGAGCAGATAATGAACGGCTCTAATCATTACATGCATCCCATGAATCTCAGCACTGTCATGTCCTTTGATTCCAGGACATAAGGCCATTAATGTGTAATGTCTCATTTAGTCCTTCAATAATCTGTTCCTTTTTTTCCTAGAAAATGTTTAGGGTGTTCTTCAATATTTGTTTCTTTAACTGTCTTGTGTTTCAACTTGTTTTGCCTTTTGTCTTGAAGTGATGGAATTTAGTGGATGTGATGTTCGAATTAGACGTACCTTTGTAATGAATTGATGGTTGAAAATACACATTAATGGGTAATATCTCATTTAGTCCTTCAATTATAACTAAATTTTTAGTTTGATATTTCTATAATGTTTTTAAATAGTAATTTGAATATATATATATATGAAAAAATAAAATTTATTTTAAAATTATATGGTATAACTTTTAATTTTCATTAATTCTACTCATTTTATATTGAATATATAATTGTAAGTTCAATTTATTTATCAACCAAGTAATCCGTGAAACGGATCAATATTATTAATCATAATCATATTTTCATCGTACTCATAATCTTTAATGATACAATAATTATATACATATATGAAATGACTTCTGTATCGTAAACATATTTGAATAAAATTCATATAAAAATATTATTAATCAATAATCATATTTTCATCATACTCATAATCTTTAATGATATTTGAATAAAATTCATATAAAAATATTATTATTTCTTAATAATTTTATATCCAGTATTAAAAATTATTGATAATATATTTTTATTAATAAAATATTTCATTTATAAAAATATTATTAATAAGTTATCTTAAAATATTTTTTTTATTTTTACTATAGTTTAAGTTGATATATTTTATTTATCATAGACTTAATAAGTATATATAATTTAAATTTTATATTAATTTACAATATAACATATAATGGACTTTTTTTCAAATTCACTTTTTAACAAAAATATCAAACAATTAAATTTTAAATTACACTTTTAAACATCATTTTCAAAAATTCTTTTCCACTGCATTTTTAAAAGTCATTTTTAAATGCTTTGTCAAACTGACCCTTACTTTATATATTAACTTTATTCATCCAAAATATTCAAAATTATCTTTATTTAGCATCATTTTGTGTAATTTTAATTCATCACCATAAAAATTTATACATTTAGGCCCCATTTGGCGTGGTTTTCTAACAGCGGTTTTAGCTAAAAAATCGTTTCGATTGCAAATTAAAATGTCAAATGGATAAAAAATTAAAAACTTACGATGAAAATAATAATTTCAAACTAACCGTAAAAATTAAGATTTGTATCATTTTCATTTTCAATTGTATCATTTTCTTTCAACTTATTTTTGAAGTTTACCCTCACTATTTAAATTATATATTTTTAATTTATAACATATTGTCTATCATGAACATTTTTTCTTTTCATACTCACTTTTTAATACAATCTCAAACAATTAAATTTTAAAAATCACTTTTAAACAACACTTTTAAAAGTTTTTTTCTACGACACTTTTAAATGTCATTTTTCAAACCCTACCAAACTGGCCCTTACTCTACATTAAATTAGTTAAACAATTCTATGTAACAGTTACTTTTCATCGATAGATTATCACAATTTCTAAGGTCAAGGTAACGGTGGTGGCTTTTCACAACCATTTTTCATGTCATTTTTTTCTTCTTCTTTTTTTCAAATTAATTATTAATTAGTTTCAGTTATATTTTAACATATTTTATAATAATTTTACTGATGTTTTTGGACTTTCGTTACGGATATATGTGTCAGATTTGATTACAGTTAAGGGATATTAATTTTTCATTCATCACTATGGTATTTTTCATGTTTTTCTCCTCTATGTTTGGTGTGTTTAGGGACGTTGGAGTGATTCTTTTCTATGTGTGTTGCATCAACCGTTCAATTTTTGCTTATCAACTATCCTAAACCTGTTATATTTTACTTATGATATTCATAAATGATTTTTTTAATATGTATTTGACAAGGCGTTGTTAATGATGATTTCATCGCAATGAATATATTATAGGTTCTATTTTAAAATAAAGAAAAATTATCAAATAAAATTTTGATTAAACTACGCGTTTAGTATCTTACTATTAATTTTTATCTGTTTTAGTACTTAACTTTCGATTTTTTAAAAATCATACCTAACATTTAATTTTTGCTTCATTTTAGTACCCTTAAAAACTTAACGTAAGTTTTGAAGAATTGAAAGTTTGGTACTAAAACAAACCAAAACTGATAATTTAGTACAAACGTGTTAGGTTTTAATGGTTGCGCACTAAATAAAACAAAAGTAAATCTTAAGTATGATTTTGAAAAAAATAAAAACATATCAAAATTGATAGTTTAGATACTAAATAGAAAATGGATAATTTAGATACTAAACGTGTAATTTATCCTAAAATATTTATCGTTGTTAATTAAACCACCAAAACGATATAGCATGGCCTTCAACATTTCACTTTAATATGCTAATGCAACGCTTATTATGAATATGTATCAAAATTTATAATTAAAAAGATACATTATTTTTTTAACCCTTGCAACCAAGACCATTGTTTTTCTTAGACATCAATACATTAGTTATGCGTACAATTTATCCATAAGGTAAACTTAATAACTCAATTAAGGTGATTAGAGGTAATTTTATTCTAAATTTTTTAACCATATCATTTGACCTTGCTAGAGTTGAGTATTGAGATTTTTTTTTGATAACGTAGGATCTCCCAACGTCAGGCTAAAGAATCCGACCCTACAAGGCTTGTAACCTCATGAGGAGTTCAAAGAACCCACCACACTGTCTCCCGCTTTTTTCTAGGATTCTCAACCAGCGCGGTTCGAAATTAGGACATGAGACCAACTCATTATCTCAAGAGCCCTTGCTTTGAGATTTATGATCTCTATAAACAACAATTTCTTTAACCATTAAAATAAGTTTATTCGTTATATATATATATATATAAAAGTTAAACCGTCGAAATCTATTGCATTAGTCTTATTGGATGCCAATTGTAGTTAGTATATAAAAGTTTTGACAAACCGTATCACCTTCATGGAAGAGCTTATGCAAAGAGCCAGGTCCCGAGACACTTTCGGTGTGTCAGATGTCATTTACGACATGATCGCTGCCGGCCTCACTCCCGGCCCCAGGTCGTTCCATGGCCTTGTCGTTGCTCACGTTCTCAACGTCGATGTTGAAGGTGCGGTAAATGTCCTAATTTTTCCTGTTTTTTGGATTCTTTTGTTGAAATGAACCCGTTTCTCTTTTTCTTTCACTGAAATTGTCTTATTTTTTTTTATATTAAAAACTCAATTTTTTAGTGGGAATGAATGAATTTGGTTTACTTGGATTAAGAAACTCAACTTTTTTAAGTGGAAATGAATGAATTTTGTTTATTTAGATTAAACACTGAAATGGGTTCCAGTTTTTATTTATAATATCTTGTGCAAAAATTTCTGAAATTTGGAATTTAGCTGCAAGCATTGAGAAGGGAATTGTGTGGGTGTTCGTCCTCTCCATGAAACGCTTGTTTCAATGATTCACCTATATGGGTCGAAAGGCCTTGCAACCAGAGGCTTGGAAGTCCTTGCAGCAATGGAAAAGTTAAACTATGACATTCGTCAAGCTTGATATTTCTTGTTGGTACAATGCTTAAAAGAACTCAATGCGTTTTTATTTATCATTTTATGTGTCTTATATATGTGGATAGTGATAAATTTTATTCTAAAATGTTGAAATTTGTCTGGACAGAGGAGCTTGTAAGGGGCAGATATCTGGAAGATGCCAATGCGGTGTTTCTGAAGGGTGCTAAAGGTGGGCTTAGAGCTACAAATGAGCTGTATGATTTAATGATTGAGGAGGACTGTAAAGCTGGTGACCATTCAAATGCACTAGAAATTGCCTATGAAATGGAAGCTGCAGGACGGATGGCAACAACTTTCATTCAATTGTCTCCTTAGCGTGCAAGTGAGTTTTCTGATACTGTGTTCAGCATTTCAACCTTCTTTGTTGACTTTTGATGGAGTTCGATAATTTGCAATTCAATGCTCTTAATAATTAGTAAAGATTCATTTGCATTTGGTTGAGTTTGGAGCTTGCATTCATCTTTCAAACTTTATGGATTCTGACATTCTGTCACCGTGCGTTTTGGTTGATGCATGTAATTGCAATGTTTGTTGTTGCCGACTGTTTGGAAATGAGATGATGGTGTTTTCTTGTAGTGAATTTGTAGATTTTATCCTTTAAAGGAATTGTGATGTCTCGTTAAGAATGGAAGAGATATTTTTATGGCGTCTTTGACGGTATTTGAAGTACTTGATGGGTTTATTTGCCTCTGTTAGAATCATTTTCCCATTGTTTGTTATATACTGCTGCTCATTTCATCTGTTTCTTTGTTTAGGCAACATGTGGGATTCCTGAAATAGCTTTTGCAACATTTGAAAACATGAAATATGGAGAAGGTTTGCATTTATTTTGCTTCTTTTTGTTGCTTCGTCAACATTAATAACATAAATAATAAAATGCTAAAAACTTTCAGGGTTTCTATAACATGATTTGTATTTGTATAACAGAATATATGAAACCTAACACAGAAACATATAATTGGGTGATCCAAGCATATACTAGAGCTGAATCTTATGACAGGTGACTTATGCACATCACTTATCATCAATTTTCTTTATTTGGGCCATTGTTTCTTCAGTCGGACATGGAATTTTTCTGTTTATTTATTTGGCAGTGATGCTGTCTGGTCTGTTTATTTATTTGGCAGTGATGCTGTCTGGTATGAGGCTATAAGCATGAAATAGTAAATTTCATCTTGAAACTTGAGTGACATAGAATTGGTTCTTGAGCCCATAAGGAACCCTTATTAATTTAAGCCCTCAAATGAAATTCAAAAAATTACCAAGTTGTACGTTTATTAACTGTATATGCTCTAAAAGAAGTGATGGATCTTTAGAAACCAATTTGGGGGGCTAAATTAAAATTTTCAAAAGTTTTGAAGGCCTAATAATTTTTTAAAGAAATTTAAGGCAAAATTTTCAAAAAATAAATTGAGGGTCTAATTAATTTCTTAAAAAAAAAATTGGGAGGAAACTTTTGGTGGGACACTAAAAACTATTTGAAAATTTTAAAGATTAATAAGAATTTCTAAAAAAAAATTTTTTTTTTGGGGGGGTGCAATTAAGATTATTTAAAATTTTGAGGGGCTAAAAACAATTTTTCCAAAATCTTGGGTGAATTTGCCCTCCAGGTCCTAACTACCGTCTGTCCCTGTCTAAGAGACCTTCCATAACTCCGTATGTTGGATTTTGATATGATTGCAGGGTGCAAGATGTGGCTGAGTTACTTGGGATGATGGTCGAAGACCACAAGCGTTTGCAGCCTAACATTAAAACCTATGCGTAAGCAAAAGTTTTTCTAACGTGAAAGCATTTTTTCTTGGTGGATATGCTTTATTTTTTATTATTTCCTATTTAAAAGTTAGGGAAGTAACATTATTTTATCTTCAAACCGTTGCCGCTAATATTCTAAGTTAATTGGATTTCTTTGCTTGTTTATTATTTTCATGTATATTGTGCTCAAACAATGTATTATTTGTCTTGCTCGAAGAGCTTTCTTGGTAGTTTCTGAAATTCAAATGTTTATTCACTTAGCTTGTTTAATTTGGAAAATATATTCGACGTGAAACCAGCTGTGATTTGTCAGAAAATAGATTCCTAAATTACAAAGATTATGTGTAGTTAGATAGGATTATGTGAATATCTTTAGTAGTTATAATCCCTAGAATTAATTACTTTCCTAGCTTAAGAGTTTCCTAAAGTTAAGATTACAGCTTGTACATAGAACTGTAACCTTTCTACAACAAATATATCATTGAGAATTAGAGAATTATTCTAATTTTAACATGTTATCAGAGCTTTTTTAGCTCATTTCTGGGTCATGTTAACCTCGGTTTAACAACCTCTTTTTACTCTTAATTCCCCTCCTTAAGTGTGTAGTGTTACCCCAACAAAAAAAATGATTGAAGTGGTTGACACCGGCAGTTTTGAGACTGTTCAGGGAGTCACAATGAGTGAAGAGAGTTACTCTAATCCAACGGGTGACTTACAGAATATACAAGCTATCTATAGATTGAATGGGAAGAATTACCTTAAATGGTCCCAATTAGTTCATACATTCCTAAAGGGAAGGGGTAAATTAAGTCATCTTCTTGGGAATGGATCTAAGAAGGGAGATCCTAGGTTTGATGCTTGGGATGAACAGGATTCGTGAGTAATGTACTGGTTATGGAATTCCATGGTGCTAGAGATTAGTGATACGTGCATGTTCCTCAATTCAGCCCAAGAAATATGGGAAGCTGTAAAACAAACTTATTCAAAGGTTAGGGATGCCGCCCTGATCTATGAAATCAAGACCAAGATTTCATCCACCAAGCAGGGAAGCAGGTCAATCACAGAATACTCTAACTTACTACAGAATCTGTGGTAAGAGATGGATCACCAGTGTATCCAAATGAGATGTAGTGAAGATGCAGCAATCTTAAAAAGGTTTGTTGAAAAAGACATAATTTATGATTTTCTTGTTGGACTAAATATTGAATTCGATGCAGTAAGAGTCCAGATTCTTGGAAAGGAATATCTGCCCTCACTAAATGAAGCAATTGCAATTATTCGTGTTGAGGAAGGAAGAAGGGGAGTTATGATTGAAAGTAGTCAAGTGGAGAGTTCAGCCTTGGTAATTAGATTTGTAACTGAGAGAAGAATTGGTCTGGAACAGCTGGTTACTGAAGATAATAGGCAACCAAAAGTAGCAAAAATAACTAACAAGGATTCCTTGTGGTGCATCTACTGCAAAAAATCTCGCCACACAAAAGAAAAGTGTTGGAAGCTTCATAGGAAGCCTTAAACAACAAATAAGAGTTTTTCAGATAAAGGAGGATCATCAAAAGGGCAAGGAAGAACATATACAACAAAACAGAAGGTTGAAGACTCTCAAGAACTGCTTGTTGAGTTCAACAAAGAAGAAATTGAAAAACTGAAAAGCTTGTTGGGGTCTCTAGAAAAGCCCTTCTCAACTGGTACTTGTAGTCTGATTTTCTTAGGTATATCCTTTTCTCAGGACTTTAAATTCTCGGATTTATCTACCCAAAGCTCCTGGGTAACTGACTCATGGACTACATACCACATGATAAATTTTTCATTCAGATTTATCACCTATACACCTTGCAATAAAAAGATAACAATAGCAGAAAATACTGTGATAACAGTGGCTAGTCAAGGGGATATTGTTATAAGTGAAACTCTTACATTAAAAAATGTCCTTCATGTACCCAAACTATTTACTAATCTTATTTCAATCTAAAAAATTACCAAAGACACTAACTGCAGTGTTCGCTTCCATCCCACTCAATGTATTTTTCAGGAACGAGAAACGAGGAGGATGATTAGACATGCTAAAGAAGTGAATGACCTATATTACCCTTAAGATCCCAGTGGATAAGTCAATGCCCATATTTCCTCACCATTATCCCTTTTATCAGAATCTAAAATCAATAAAGATCAAGTTTTGGCTTCACACCTTCACCTTGGTCATCCATTCTTTAAATTATAAAACTTATGTTTCCTTTTTTGTTCAAATCCTTAAATGTTGAAGAGTTTCACTGTGACATCTGTGAACTTGCAAAACATAAACGCACTTCTTTTCCAGTGAACAATAAAAGAGCATCCAACCATTTTAGTCTTATTCATAATAATGTTTGGGGGTCATCCACTATTCCACATATAATTGGGGCCCAATGGTTTGTTTTCTTCATAGATGATTGAATTCGAGTATTGTGGGTATTTCTTCTAAAACATAAATCAGATGTAAGCTCTACCTTTAAGACCTTTTATACCATGATTAAGACTCAATTTGGGGGGTAGACATAAAACGATTTCGATCAAATAATGTCAAGGACTATTTCAACCAATTCCTATCAGCCTATTTTCAAGAGAAAGGCATCATACATGAGTCTTCTTTTGTTAATACCCCTCAATAGAATGGTGTGACATAAAGAAAGAATGACCACATCCTTGCCATAACAAGAACCCTTTTGTTTCAAAAAATATACCTAAACAGTATGGGGGGAAGCTATGTTAACTGGCACCTATATGATAAACAAGCTACCTACTAAAGTCCTTGAGTCCCAAAGCCCTATCCAAGTCCTAACCTGTTTCTTCCCAAATTTCAGTCCTTTACTTAACCTTAAGCCCAAGATATTTGGTTGTATTGCCTTTGTTCATATACACTCTCAAAATATGGGTAAGCTTGATCCAAGGGCATTGAAATATATCTTTGTTGGCTACTCTTCTACTCAAAAGGGGTACAAGTGTTGTCATCCACCTATAAGGAAACATTTTGTTTCTTTTGATGTCACCTTTGCAGAAAAGGAAAATTATTTTACTTGTCTTTATCTTTTGGGGGAGATTTCATTCAGGGAAGATAAGGACATAAATTGTTTCCTACTTTAGCCACTTCTTGACTTTCCTGTCTACCAGCCTGTTCAACAGCCTGTCCAATAACTTGATTCAGACCAATCTACCTCCTTACAATAAGATTCTAATACACCTAAGTCAAAGGCTCAAGACATTACTCGTCCTCTATTGGTTTATTCAATGAGGAAGGCACCAGTGCAGGTTTAATCATCCTCTTCCTCTCCTATACAACCTGAGGTAACTACTGAACATGTTTCTGATCAAAACCATTGTCATTCCTAAAACTGTATTTGAGGCATTAGAAAATTCTTTCTTGAGGGTGCCTATTGTCATTAGCTGCCAATCAAGGGTGGAAATTACAACAGTTTGACATTAAGAATGCCTACATGCATGGGTGGAAATTACAACAGTTTGACATTAAGAATGCCTTCATGCATGGGGATTGTCGTAACCGGTTTTCGTCCGGGCACGAAATATTATACTTGGCGGGAAAAGTAATGTGAATAAATGGTTTTTAAAATAATTTAGGAGTCGCCATCGGCCTTTTGGGTCAGGTAGGTCGAATACCTAAAAAAAATATCTTTTAAAAGAGTTTTTAAGAAAACATCAATTAAAAGATAAACTGATCTGCGTTTTAACCAAAAATTTGTCTTTTTAATAATAAAAAGGGATTCGTTGTCGGTTACGTTTAGGGAAGGATTAGCACCCCTACAACGCCCAAAATTGGTACTTTTTAATTATAAATTGTCTCTATTATTAAAAATTAAAAAAAATTAAAAATATATTTAATTTAAATTTATATTATTTCAAAATTAAAAAATATTTAAAAATATCGGAAAAGAACTTCTAGGTGCCTTAAGACAGCTCTTTTCTTCAATATTAAAAAATAAATAAATGACAAACATTTTTTATGACAAAAATTTATTTTAATATAGTAAGATATTTATTTATTCAAAAATATCAGAAAATGGCTTCTAGGTATCTTAAGACAGCTCTCTTCTTTGATAAAAATAAAAATATATTAAAATTTTAATATTTTAAATAAAACTAAATTATAATTTTTATAATATTTAATTATTTAAAATACCAGAATAGGACATTCAGTTATATTAGGACTGCTTTTTTTGATATCGAAAATAATAAACATTATTATTTAAAAAATATATATATATATTTATATGACTAAGATAATAATAATTAAAGCAATAATTAAAATATAAAGTAATAACAAAATAATATTGTAATTAAATAATGATCAAAATAAAAGAAATTCAAAAATTATAAAACTAATATAAAGTATTAAAAATAAAGATAATAATTCGAAATATTATGAAAGATAATGATTAATAGTGTAATTTAACCTAATTAATTAATACGTGATTAAAATAATAATTAATAAACTATGAGGGACTAAATTTGATATTTTCCTAAATATATAAATACAGTTAATGGTTAAAATATAATAAATTAAATTTAAACACTAAATTAAAATGATTAAAAGTCAATTTCAGTGACTAAATTGCAAAGTTACAAAACTATAAGGGTTACGGAAAGGGTTTACCCTTTCTTAAATTACACAGATACCCTCCCCAGAACGACGTCGTTTGGGGAGGGTTTTAAAATAATAATAAACTATGAGGGACAATTTGATATTTTCCTAAAATATATATAAATACAGTTAATGGTTAAAATATAATAAATTAAATTTAAACACTAAATTAAAATGATTAAAAGTCAATTTCAGTGACTAAATTGCAAAGTTACAAAACTATAAGGGTTACGGAAAGGGTTACCCTTTCTAAATTACACAGATACCCTCCCCAGAACGACGTCGTTTGGGGAGGGTTTTAAATACCTAAACGCCTGGCCCGAAGGGCCAAGCTTCTCATTTGCCTCTTTCCTTTCTCTCTCAA